TACTTAAAATAAAATGAACACATTTTTTTTCAATAATACCTAATTGCCTTTACTTAGGTTTTGGTACTAAAATGAAAAAAAAATATTAAGAATGTTTAGGTGTGATCTTTCACCCCTTCTAGCTTGCACTATTTTGTAATGCTCAATTTTATCCAGTCCATATATACTACAATGCTTGATTGCTTATCGCCAACAATTTAAAAAAATTCACTACTCTTAAAACCGACAAGAAAACGGTAAGAAAAACTTTAACAACACAACATGTGAACTATCGAAAAGGGCCACGCAGACGCTAATGGCGGCTTTAGCCCTTTCACATGACAGCAGATCCTCCTTTTTTTAAATGTTAAAGAAATCTTATAGATGTAACAACCGATCGCCCTTAAAATATAAACGTTCAAATTTGATTAATCTATTCGTCTTATTATTATAACTCCGTTTAAAACAAATACGCACTGCATTAAATATAGAGAAGAAAATCTTAACTTTATATTTCGAGATTTGTAACAAAAAACAATAAGCTACCAACAAATATGACTTTGTTGTATCTCAAAATATCCACCCTGATGCATTGATGATCAATGCACTTTTGCATTCGATAAAACCATTCATCAAGGCACTTTTCCCACATCGAGTCCGGCACATCCGAAACGTATCAATCGCTTCTTCTTCTGGTGTCAAAAATCGTTGCCCACGTAATTTATTCTTAATGTGAATAAAAAGAAATCATTGTATGTATGCTGGTCCCACTAATGCCCAAAGATACCTCAATCTCATGGTAAGCCACATGACGATTCTGCAAAATCAGTTTCCGTACTGCATCATTGTTTACTTGGACAACCACCGATTTTGGACGACCTTCACCAAATTCATCCTTAAGAAAGCTACGACTAACCATAAACAGTAGTCGTAGATGGTGGTTTAACTCGGAAAGTTGAATTAAGTTCATCGAGTTGAGTTGAGTTAATCCACGTCTAAAGTTGTAAAAAGTTATTTCACGCAAATGTTTCCGATTAAGTTCCATTTTTAACTGTTACATTTTTCTTAATTTATCACAAAAAACACAAACAACACTATTTCGCCAAAATCTAACTGAGTGAACCTAACCTCAAAATGTCACACTTCACTGTCCCACAGATGGCAGGACTAGTTTAAGAAAATCCAGAAACATAAATGACAGCCCTCGTACTAATTTACAAACAAATCAATATCAAAATATTTTGACGCTTACGTAAAATGTTATATTTTGATTAGTTAAATTTAATAATAAGGGCTGACTTCATACAAGGTGATTTCTTGTACATTTGAAAACGCATTTTTTTTCTGAGTGTACGTAAATTGGACATCACAAATGCATAATAATTTATTGTAAAATACCTATTATTATTAAATAATGAGAGATGACACTCTACAATAGCAAGATTTTATTAAAAACATTTTCATCGAATTTGACTAGTCAATTGACCAGCCCCAACAATGCGTTAATTTCCATCTCCGGAACTGAAACTTCGACGGTAAACCTTAACGAAAACGACTTCGAGCGCCATCATCGAAAAAGAATCTTTTGAAAAGGGGCCCCTAAAACTTTCATATTCCCGACTGAATTATCGCGAAACGCTTTTCAGAAACGCTACGGACGTTACATTCGCCAAAGATTTACGTTGGTTTTAAGACCTCTCGAGAGTCGCAATAAACTAGGGTTTACTGCTTCGGGGAACGTGTGCAGTCTCTCGAAAAGGAACGAAAAAAAAAAAAACGATCGCGCTCCGTATAGGTCAAATAAAAATTGACGTTTATATATGTTTTAAGGGGCGGGGGGGCGCAGTCCAAAGCGGACCGACCGTAAAATACCGTCGATACAAAAATCTTAACACCTGAATATATAAAATATTTATAAAGCCGTAAAACACATATTAAAAATAATATTTATATATGTGGAAAAGGACCGCTCGGTCGGTTTTACAGCGTCATTGAGTTGTTTACGAGCGGGGCCACGGCCAGAATGAGGCTCGCTCCGACCCGAGAGATCTTTCCCATGGAAATAATCCCCGGACTGCAATGTTGCTACGTTGCCATTATTTAAGTCTCGTATGTCGGGGCGTCGGCGCCTTTGAAGGCGGCCGGTCGATTTTCACGACCTCCATTTGCCGCCCCGATTTGATAATCCATTTGATATCCACAATATTCAACGTTACTATGGATACCATTAAACCCTACCAACAAAAAATGTATATTTGTTTTGCGACGAAAGATTCACATTCATAGCTACTATATACTTGATACACTGTGCTCCAATCTGATCCTGTTTTCTCTGAAAGATGTTCAAAGTCCTCTCATGCCCATAACTCATGTTCGTCCACCGATACTCTGAGAAAGTTTCTCTTTAAAAGGGTTGATATACTCATGATACTCATGCCTATATTATACTACCCATGCTCAAACTTGTTAGACAATAGAAAAACCTAATTGAGTTAGAAAAATTATGAATTTCTACACTGTAGTCACACTTTGATATCCATAGTATTCAACGTTATAATGAATACCTTAAACCCTAGCAAAAAAATGGTTATTTGATTCGCGACAAAGGCTTTTCACTCATACCTAATGTATACCTGATACACTGAACCTGAACCTGTTAACTGTGGAAGATGTTCAAAGTCCTCCTACGCCTATAACTCACGCTCGTCCACCGATACACTGGCCGCTTAAAAAATTATTCATTTTCTTTTTATAAGGGCTGTACACTGTACTCAAACTTATCAGATAATAGAAAAACATAATCGAGTTAGAAAAGTTACTAATTTTACACTGTAGTGTAAGTGAAAAAGTTACTATGGATACCTATAAACCCTACCAAAAAAAATGTATGTTTGTCTTCCGACGAAGGGTTTACACTTATAGCTACTATATAATTGATACACTGTGCTCCAGTCTGATCCTGTTTACTGTAGAAGATGTTCAAAGTCCTCTCACGCCCATAACTCATGCTCGTCCACCGATATTCTGAGAAAAATTACCTTAAAAATTTTCTCTTTACAAGGACTGATATACTCATGTCTATGTTATACTAGCTACACTCAAACTTGTTAGACAATAGAAAAACCTAATCGACTTAGAAAAGTTATAAATTCTACACTGTAGTCATACTTTAATATCCCTAATAATCAAAGTTACTACGAATACCACTAAACCCTACCAAAAAAAAGGTTCATTTGTTCATTATATACGCGATACACTGTAGTCCAACTTGAGCCTATTAAGTGTTCAAAGCACAAGGGCTGATACACTCATGTTATAGAATAGAAGAACGCAATCCAGTTACAAAAATTATGAATTCTACACTGTGGTCAAACTTTGACATAAATAATATTCAACGTTACTATGGATTTCTATAAAAGCTAGTTGGAATTATTCGTAATTCCGCAATTGATTGACTGACTTTTTTAGCTTTATGTGGTATACAACAATACAATAATACATAGAATGTTATATTTAAAAAAATAGAAGAGGGTGATCATATGGGGGACTGGGTTAAAACTATAACGTCTACATATGAGCAAAAATATCATGAAGATATGATTTTTGACTTGTTTTGTAATTTTTTCAAATGTATAACTACTACAATGTACTGGAGGCTGATTAAGCTGTGCAAAAATTGTGAATGCTAGTTCAAAGTGTACTCTTACTCATACATCGCTACACCTACTCAAAAATTGTTCAATTTTTTCGACGAAGGCTGATCAGTCATAACTATTATGTACCTGATACACTGTACCCCTAACCGATCCTGTTAACTGCGGGCAATATCCTGCGTCATATTGGGTTGGTAACTATTTTTTAAATGTTTAAATAAACACATTCTGAAATTTGTTAAAAGTAAGGCCTGCCCACAAAAAAAAGGAAAAAATGTCATGTCAGGATTGTCATGGCGGTTTACAAATGTGTTACATATATCAACACCTATAACTCCTACCTCCAGGTTTAATCTGAAAAATTCTATTATATAGCTGTAATTAACTTGGTCTAATTATTCCGTGTGTGTATATTTCATACACTATTATAATGTGGAAATTTTTGAAAAATTGTCCATCCTATTTGAAATATTAACACTTATACTCTTACGCCGATAACCCTTCAACAATTGTTCATTTTCTTTCAACTGATATACTCATAGTTGTTATATACACAGCACCGCAACCTGACCCTGTTGTACTCTGTGTGTATATATAACCCAAACGTTTCAACTGAAGTCTGATTGAACTGTGGAAAATGTTGAAAAATTGTGCTTAGATCAAAGTTTGTTCTATCTGCCTTTTTGGCCCCTGATACACACTCATACATTCTACTCATATCAGATCCGGATAGAAAAATTAGGAATTTTCCTGCCGTCAAACTTATTACTCATACTCATAACCCAATACACTGAGAGAAACCTCCTTTAAAATTGTTCATTTTCTTTGGACCAACACTCAAAATACACTTAATACATCTTATATGTGTGTATAACTCATTCACTGTTACACTGTTAGTGTTTACACTATACTGAAACCTGTCCCTGCTAGACTATGGAAAATGTTGAGTAATTATGAATCATAGTTCAAAATCTGTTACACCAATAAATATGAACACCTACAAAATTGCTCATTCTCTTTCGCCCAAGATTGAAACATTAATACCTATTATAATTGCTACACTCAATTCAATCATGTTAGACCGTAGCAAATGTTATAGATTTTAAACTGCGAATAGTGTTGAAGCCTTATTAATTTTGGTTTAGGAAAATCCATTACACGAATAAGTGCGGATACCTATAACCCACATACATACACTGTTACACTATAACTATGTCGATCACTTGTAAATTGTAGATTATCCAACTTAATTTTCTCTGAATTCTGTTTTGAGACTAAGCGAAATAAGCAAATCATAATTATACTACTATAACGTTTCTTGCTTTAATGAACGAATTTTTGAGACTATAAACATCTTTTCATTTTCAGGTATGGTTCCAGAACAAGCGGTCAAAAGAGCGGCGACTGAAACAACTGACGACGATGGGAAGGGGTCCGTTCTTCGGTGGATCCCGAAAAATGAGGGGCTTCCCCATGAACCTCTCCCCCGGGGGCTTAGAAGACGGTCCCCCTTTTCCCTATTTCTCCGACGGTAAATTCGAGTTCGGCTACGGGGGTCCCCCTTTCCACCCGCACGACGGCCCCTTCTTCCCCAGTCACCATCCGGGAGGAGGTCCAGGTCAGGGCATACCCTTCGGACAAGGAGGTAAGCCGACCATATTCCCTTATGGGATTGGGTGAACAACCACTATTTCAATTGTAGGTGGCCCTATGGACCACGGCGGTCCTTTGTCGATGGGCGCCGACTTTGGTGGTATGCCGGGCTCGGAAGGCGGCCAATTCATGGGCCAACAACCCGGACCTGATCAGATGGTACCAGGGGTACCGGCCAACGGAAGAGGAGGCAGTCCGGAGTTCATGTCGCCCGGAAATTTCTCAGACAACCCCCAGCAGCTGAACGAGGGGTTGGTTTGGTAGCTGGCAAAGGCTCTAGCCAAGAGAGCTAGAGAATAATATACAATGTAGAGACAGCGTGTACATAATTCTTCTTCCGTTCTATCGCCGGCGGGTTTTGGTGTACTGTGAGGGGCGGTTTTGTGATATAACAGTGAGGGGTGGGACGCAGCGCACCAAGGCCGGGCGATTTTCCGTTTCATAATATACAGGGTGACGCGGGCAGCGTTATTATTTCGTATTATATGTTCGCTCTTTGGGTTTGTTACAGAAAAATGTTGTTGGATGTCGCTTTGGTTTAAGTTTGTGCAATCTGTGGATGTTTTTTTGTTGAAGATCGACTCGTTTCACCGAAGAAACTGTAGATAGCGTGAGATCCGTTTTCGCATTAAGTTGAAAAGAAAAAGTGCCAAGCAAGAAAAAAGCATTTTAGCCGTTTTTTGTTTTCTATTTATATATGTCGGTGTATAAAGTATATAGGTTATTTTTTTTGTGTGTGTAAATAACGACGAATCCGCCGCTGGATTCGGTTTCAGTTTGTATCAACTTAATCCGCCGTACAAAACTAAAGAATGTGTAAATAGTTTACGATATGACGTAACCGCTGTAAAGAAAATGCGTTCGACATATTAGTGTATATTGTTACTTACTTTTTAGATGTCCTATCAATAAAAGTACGTTCTATAATTACCCGTCTCTTGGTTTTATTTCCTACCGCAAAAGCACTAAATTACCCCAAATTTCTTTATAAAAAAGTTATAAAACAATATAATATATATATATAATTCTTGAATTTATTTCTTCATTCAATATTTTATGCTAGGAATAAGATTCCGGGTCCGCTATTAGGTGTCATTTCACTATATTTTTATCAAAGAACAAGTCATGCTATTGGGTTTGATAGTTTAAAAAATGTTGAAATATTCTCTGTTTTATCTGTTACATTAAGAAGCACACTATTTATTATAAAAATTATGAAAAAATCATAAAATAAGTAAGAATATTTAAGTGGGATTTGATAGATCATTAAAGTTAAAGCTGTAAATTAGAAAAATTATAAAAACATAAAATAATTAATAGCACCCCTTTATGAAAAATATTTTTTTTCTTCAATATTTTGGTCTAGGAATTGCATTCCTGAGATGCGGTTTTCACTTGGCTATTTAGTATCATTTGACAAAAGTTTTATCAAAAAAATTCATGCTATTACGTTTAATGATTTAGAAAATTTGGCAACATTGTGCTGTTGTATTTAAAAACGCACACTAACAACGTCACTGAGAATAACGCATATTACAGGTAAGTTGGATTTAATTAGAAATGGATAGTTTAGTTATTATAATGAGTATATTGTAAAATGTATTAAGCAGAATTCACTCCAAGCAAAAAACTCAGCTTTAAGAAATATATATTTTCCTGGTACTTTGGCTGAAAAGTTTAAAATGGCGGTTGCGCTAATCTACGAAAATCAGGAAATATTTTCTGTTCTCTTCTTTTCACCACTTCAGTAATTATAACTTAACCGATGGTGTGCTAATGTTGGGATGAGAATGCGTTAAAGTTTGACAAAGAAAGTGTAAAAAGGATTTTGAGATTAAAATTGTTTATAGTATTGGGTACAATTACAAAACATTTAATTTGATAGATATGAAAAAAAGGCACAAGTTTGTTATTGAAATCTTTATTCGTAGCTGATCCATTGGTGTAGCGAAAAACGGAATGGTAATGCTTATACTTTTACAAAAAAAATATAAAAAAGTACCTCGAAATTAAAATTTTGTAACATATAAAATTTTGACAAGTATATACCTTGAAGTTAAAATTTTGTACCAGATTACAGACTTTGATGCTTAATACAAATTGTCATTTATTTACAAAAATAGGTAAAACGTTATTAATGAGATCTTGTATAACTTATCCAGTGGTGTAGCCAAAGTTGGGAATAAAAACGGCTGGATTGGAAAAATATAAAAAAGTTTACCACTTTCTGTTTTTCTTATTCAATACTACCACTAGCATTCCACCGTTCCATTAAACGTTAAAGAGATGGTCTAGTTGGGATTCGTCTATTAGGGTGCCAACAAAGTATTTTATCCCACCTCACTCAGAAAATAAATCATATCGATTAATTTACTGAAGTTACAATAAATTTTGTGAATTTATTTAGTAAAGTACTAAAAGTATTAAAAGTCAATAATAAACGATAATAAAATTTGCAGGTTTTTGTAAGCTATTTCAGAAAAAAAAAATAATATATATAATAATTATATAAATATTATATAAAATATAATATAATAATAAAATAAATAAATAAAAAATAAACAAAATATTATATAAAATATATATAAAAAATTCCCGAAAGATCATCCTGTTCAATGTCGAAATGAAATTTAATTTCAATTCGAGACTGCCAAAGAAGACGAAACGGAAATGAACCACCAACGAAAACATCCCCGACACTGTCGTGTCTTCTGCCATATAATTATCAATCAAGTTAATGTGTATAATAAACGGCCGAAAAGGTTATCTTTCGAACGTCGAACAGGTGTTCCCCAAACCCTAAACAAACACGCGAGCTAGATGATATCTCTACCGAGGAACGAACAGAAGTGTCACGAGACAAAAATTAGATTATTAAAACAAAGCCGAGAATAATTACGGCGAACGAGGTTCTTTTCTTCGACTATCCGTTATTATCTACACGACATTGTTTTATTTATAGGTTATGTTCACGCGCCTCCCGCCGATGCACTCTATGACAGAACTAGGTTCAAGAAACTTTAATTTTGTTATGTTTGTAACTAAATATTTTTATGTTTAACTAGTACTCAAAAGAAATGATTATTAATATGAGTAAAATCAAAATAATTGATTAATATCTAGTCTAATCTCACATGCGAATCTCAGAAAATCGACTTATTGACGTAACGTGCCCAGTAAGATTTTTTTAGGTAGCTCCATCTCTAATATGGTGGCGACATATTGTGACCAATTCGGCCTCACTGCGAGTAAGCCCTTTTAAAAAGAAGAGCAGCACAGGAGATAAATTAAATCAGCTGTAAAGAAACTAACTTGGATTCTATGACATAATATTTTGCCGTTATTAATTAATTATAAAATTAACTTTTTAACTCACTCGGTTATTAAAAACTCGCTCCGCTGCGCTTTGCTCGTGTCAAATAAACTCGTGAGTCAAATGCCGTTTACCGCACTTGTTGCATACTATACTTTTTCTACGACGGTTAGTTTTTTGGTACATTTTCGCAAAACACGAATACATTCACTGACATGACCGTCAGAATTGACAAACGTCAAAATTCAAAGCGTGGGAAATATCTCCGAAACTCGAAAACGAAACTGACGTGGTAAAGTGACGCTTCCCGCACGCTAGATCGGTGGGTAATTAGGTATTTTACAGACGGGAGTAGAAAAAAAAATTAATAATCAATTCCTCCGAAAAAATGTTTGCCTATTGCCTACTATTCATTTCGCGAATTTCATTCCGATCGAGAATAGTTCAAGGACTACGTAGATCAATCCGAAGCATACTAGTTACCTCCTATTCACTTCATAATGTACCCGAGGGTAAGCAAGTTCTGTTATTCATAAATTTAGTTGTTCCTCTGTAGAGTACGGTAAAATAACTTTGCTATCCTAAAAAATGTCCTACGAACAGATTTGATGAACTAAAAAAAAATGTTAATATTGCATTTGGATCCTAACCTAGAAAGACATAAATTTCGAGCCAGGAACCAGAGAGAAAGAGAATCATCCAATTGCTTTCTTCGAGACCTCAAAAGCATTTCCGTTAATCGAAACTACAAAACTCAAGAGCATATTAATGAAAAACTGACAGACCAAATCATTAAAGGTGTGCATAGCAACGAACTCAAGAACAGAGAATTTTGTTAAAAAGATTCGTCATTCCAAATTTTCCAATCGGAATAATGATCGACTAAATTTCAAATAGAAATCTATATATTTTCCTTATGGTCGCGAAGACCTGAATCTTGCAGCACAATGCCGATTCATTCATTCACAGTGCAAAAACATGATGAACATCTATCGAAAGTTTGAGGTATATTTCAAAATTTTGGTCAAAAACAAATGTTTAGGTTCAAAGTTTAACAAAAAGCTACAAACCGCCGACAAACATTGCAAGCAAGTCGCCTCCATTTCTCAAAATAATTCTGATCCCCACTTAGGTTGTAAAAGAAATGATGGATGAAATCGCCTGTATGAACAAAATTCAATCAGGTTTCAGTTCCTGTGAAATGTCTATGGAATTGTTTAATCAGCTTCATGTTCCTGCAACGATTTTAGGTTGTGACCTGACGTTGAAAACCTATAACAATTCTAGTTTGAAAAGCATAAAATATGCCAATGACAAAACATCTTCCAATGGACAAACAGCGGAAGGTTGACTTTATTTATTATATGGTCATGCCATACAATTTTCGGACGTGACTGGCTTTATAAAGTTAACTAGACTGGGTTTCAATTAATCAATCAGCTAATACCAAGATTTATTTTCTCCACGAAACCCAATTCCGTTCCAGAATATTTTAAAGCTAGGAAAATCCCACTAGCTTTTTAACCAGTATATGAGAAAGAACTGGAACACTTAGAATCACTTACAATAATTTCTAAAGTTATTTATCCTGAATGGTCCACACCAACCGTCCCTATTGTCAAAGCAGATGTTTAAATCAGGATTTGTGGAGACTGTAAGGTAACCGACACCTTAGAGTAGACAATCATCATATTCCTAACATTGAAGAAATACTCTCTTCATTCAACGTTCGTCAGGCTTATCTTCACATGCAAGCTGATCAAGAATCTTCAAAAATTCTCACTAGCGTCCAGCTAAATGGCCGAATAGAATGGACGACATAATTAGCAAATTTCCGTAACCTTTTTTCTTAAGATGTCAACATTGTTTCTTCTGATGAAGAGACTCATCTAAAACACGTGAGCAAATTTTTCAAAGTTTGTCTTCAAAATAGAATCCGCCTTAAGAAGGCACAATGTAAAATAATGTGAAAAGAAATTACCTACTTAGGACATCAATTTGACGAAAATGGTTTTCATAAAACCAAAGAAAAGTCAAAAGCGGTGAAATTATTTTTGAGCCTAGTAAATAACTATGGTTCCCCGATTTTCAGGCAGTCCAGCCGAATTGGCCATAACACGGTCTAAGAAAGGTTGTCAAAATTGTAGACTGTTGACTGGCATGTAATGAAATTGTTGCTATATGTCACCAACGGCAAAAAAATGAGGTTATGATTTCCGCGTATTCAAAGTTTGTGCACGCTGTCAGTTGAAATAGTTTTGTGACCACACTTTGTTTAAATAAAGTTGTTTAAACGCATGGAAAGTTTGTTTAGTCAAAAAAGGGAAAAATCTAAACCATTTGCTTCGATAATTTCTATTATAAAAAATAGAGAACTTGCTTTGTTGCGTTGTTAATGGATCTTTTTTATTTCCCAAAATAGTTTCTAGTTCCTTAGAGAAAAAGCTAAAGCAATGAAGTGCAAGAGATGTATGGAAAACGCCATGTGACTGAGTTTTTCGCCTTCTAAGGCAATACTATGACCTAGCGAAATTATTAATGTAGATGAGTCCGGGTTTTCTATTGTGCAATCAAGATCTTCACACG